CAGCAAAGTTGGTGCTTGAGGATCTCTGATTCAATACTGGTAACACTGGCTTCAGAAAGAATGTTGCCGTTTGTGTGGCAATCTTCCCATTTGATGAGGAAGACTAGAGGCATCATTGGTGATACCTTTCCAGGCTCTTGAGATGATGGTGGTAGTGGATGGTGTCACCCACATTTCAGATCTGTAGAGGAGAATGGGAATGATGACAGCATTGTAGACCTGGATCTTGGTGTCTTTCTGGAGATCATGAATGAAGACATCTCAAAGCAGTTTTGCAAAGGAGGTACTTTGTGCTGGATTTTCTCATCAATGGTCACTCTCTGAGAGAGGTGACTGCTGAGATAGGATTCTCAACTACCTCCAGGGTTTTTTCCTCAATGGCAATTTGGGGAGGGAGGCTATATTCATGGCCCAGAGCAGGTTCATATAGCACGTTAGTCTTCCTGATGTTGGAAGAGATATCCAAAGTTCAGTAAACTTCTCCGAAGAGATCCAGCATGTTCATGAGGTTTTCTTCAGTGTTCACAAGGATGGTGCAGTCATCAGTGCATTGAAGATCAAAGATAGTTGTTTTGAGTACTTTGATCTTCAAGCAAAAACATCTCCAATTGAAGAGCCCTCCATCCATTCAGCACTCAATGTCAATTCTGAAGAAAGGTGGTCCTTAATGAGAACTACGGTGACTGCTAAATAAATGGAGAACAGAGATGCTTGCCTAATCCCAATTCAGATTGCAAATGGATCTGTCTCCAATCTGCTACATAGAATGCTTACAGTCATCAGGTCATGGAAAAACCTCAGGGCCATAATGTACTTTTCAAGATATCCAAATCTGGCCAGTACTTCCCATCAGGCTTCACAATTGATGGAATCAAAGGCTACCACTAGAGCTCCCACTAGGAATCCATCAGTTAGCAACCTATGAGTTAGGACCAAAAGACTGGGTAAGAAGCCCAGCGGGAAGGAGACTTGAGAAAACCTGTAGTGCAGGACAGTGAGAGTACTAACAGAAGTGACATTTGTTATATGATCAGCCCACTGCAAGTGCTCCACAGCCATGCTGTGACACATGTGCACAGCTGCAGACCACTTTAACAGTGGCTGATCATTAACCCTAAGCTAATGAGGGATCAGATGAAGGTGCTCCAAAGCAGAACCCCTTAGGTAACTTCTGTCACTCCCTGTGCATGATCAGGGCTGGGCTGATGCAGTCCAGCTCTGCTGCCCATCCTGTTTGCAGGAAGGGAGGGGAGAGAAAGGAGGTGAAGGGAGCTGCAGGCTTTGGTTTGCCCAGCCTGAGCTGAAGCAGTGTGGAGGGGGTAGACTGGAGCACCCCCCCACACACACCTTGCAGCCCTTCCCAGTGCCCTCTCTCTCCAGCATAGGCTGGACAAATCCCATCCCCCATCCCCACCCCCCTCTTCCTGCAGACAGCACCAGAGCTGGCAAGCAGGGCTAGGGGAGGCTGCTCTGCTGGATCAGCTCCAAAGTGGAGCTTGACTACCCCCAACCCAGTAGCGAACATCTGTTGGGTTGGTGGGGTGGGGGTCACTCTAACACATGGCACTTTCTGTAAAGTGCCATGAGTTCATGAGTTAGAGCAGGGAGCTGCACATCTGTCAGTGCCCTCAGAGCTGTGACACCAGCCACTGTGCACTACTGACAAATACATAAGCATCCTTCAACAGAAGGGTAGACCTACTGCACCAGAGCAGTCCTACAGGTCTCTTTTAATGATATCCTCCTCTATTGTAGTAACTGAGGTAGGAACTACCATGTCAAATTTCTACAGTGACTTCCTGAATTTTTGTACCAAAGATATTTGCACCATTTCACCACTACAACCCTGACAAATGATCCATCCTTTTAGCTGTGCATGAGTGCTGTTAAAGGAAACCACCAAAGGCTGCAGTAGGATCTTATAATTGAAGTGCTCCTAGGCATGATACAGCATCTGAAGCATCTCAAACAATCTGAATTACAGATGACTCCCAATTGGCAGAGCCAATTAAACTAGTCAGATCAGGCTAAACTATTTTTTATGTTTCCAAATAATGTTGTATTTCTTATTCCTAATGAGGACTGGACATGGAAATAAGATGCGGGGAAAGTGTTTTTTTCTGGTATTTTCTGCATGCTTGAAGTGGGAGTTTCTGAAATATCGTGAGACATGTTTATATAATATTCCCAACTTTATTTTTGAACTCAAGCAGTCCAGATAGCTCTGATACAGAGTGAGCTAATTGAATATTAGTGGTAGTTGTGCTCCAGATATTTTTGGTTCATAAACAGTAAACTGTCCACTCTGGGACTTGAAGTCTGCTGCTCTCAGAAAACAGCCAATTAGGCACAACTAGATGAGAAACACTGATCCTTCATCAACAGCCTAAGCAAATAAGCCCCTGTCTTCCCAATCTTAATCTGGTGCCCCCCTCTACAAGGGAGCTAACAAGACTTTTTCTTACTTCCCATAAATATATCTGAGTGTTTAGGGGAAAGCCAGCACTCTGTAAGCACCCTTCAAATTCTCCAGCAAATATTTTCAGGTTACTTCTCCTTTCAGCTCTGTAGTTGCTCCTTGCATCTCTCATGCCTGGAGTGCACCAAAATGGGTGGAGTTTTCATCTTATTTATTTATGTTCTATAACTAATCCATTACCGCATCATGACAAATAACATAAAAGATTCTGATAAACAATGAAAGCTCATTAAAGGCCAAAGACCGCTCTTAGCTTCTGTTACATCATTTGCTGTTTAAAGAGCATCATGAGGAAACCACACGGGCACAGCTATGAGCCAAATAACTATAATCACCAGCTGAACACAAATATGCAAGATGTAGTTATATGCTTCTTGGGGCACTGGCTCATTTCTGGCAGCTTCTAAAGTGCAGAACACAGTGAGCAACACTTTAGGGCACACAAACTATTTAGATCTTCCACCCAATTTCTATACACTACAACCTCCTTAGATTTATAAGAGTACAGAAGTGTACCTTTATAAGAGATCAAAACTTAGCACTAAGTTTCCTCATTGCTTTTTCCTTCCCTTTATTTTCCTGAGAGAGATTTTTACTTAATAGAAACTAACTGGTTTTGTTATAAATCCCTCACTGTTCATCAGGACTGTGCATCACCAACAGGATGCCAGGCAAGGGAGGGGGAATAGATGTGTGGAGGCGGAGGAGTCTGCACACTGCACAGCTCAGCCGGCCCCTGACTACAGCAGAATGGGGCACAGCCCTCCCGCCTCAGGATCCTGGTGGCAGCCGGCAGGCCAGACAGGATCAATTGGCATCTTCCCATACCCCCTCTTCTCCCCCCAGCCTGGCCCTGAACAGTTCACCAAAACTTAAGTGGCCCTCCAGGCCAAATAATTGCCCACCCCTGTGATAGAAGTTAGCTAAGTGAAGCAGGGTTAAAATTGGAAACATTTTCCTACATATAAATCCCTAAAGGATCATGCAGATTTAACAGTTGCATAATAACAATGGTATCAGTATCCTTGGACACAACTGATCAATTGTTACATATCCCTTTACCTTTAGTTAAACTGCATCTGGTCCGTACACAAAATTGTCACTGAATTTTCTGATAAGTTAGTAGGAATGTTGCCCAAATAAGAGGGTCAAGATTGGACATTTATGTTTCTAAGGCACATAAAGATCTCAGGGGCAATACAAACTTGAAAATGCAAAGTGGTATTATTTTGGATTAAACTATTTCATTTGTTTTTTAAATGCCCTCCAAACATTTATGAGTCAGGTCTTGGCTTTTCTGTGTAGGAGAAACTATTTGATCAAAATGAAATTAAAATGTTGTTTCCTTTCTAAAATGTTTTAAAGTTTTTCTTGCAAAATAAAGGGATATGAAATTAAATTGTGCTGTGCCTGTAGCCTCTCCCCACTCTGTTAGTCCTCTTCCCCCCACCAAAAAAATCTGCAAAGTTTTGCCAGCTTTATCTAGATCCTTTCCAAATCTCTGGCTTATTTTTAATATTTACTGTTATAGCTCTGATAATTCTTATCAACAAAAATCCAAGCCTCTTAGATGCTTGCTAAACTCTTGTCCTTAATTGACAGCTTCTGGTAATGTGTTCCAAAGGCTACATAGGAAAACACATTTTTAACTGCTTTTGCTCATCTAACAGATGTTTTTATTGATCTGTCCACAACGATGTCTGAATCTTTTTCCTGACTTGGTACACTTAATTTAAAACCTGTAAGGCTAGCTATGACCTAGCCCACTGTTCCCTCCCCACCCCCATTATACTGGGAATCAGACCTGAATGGTTCTGGATGGGAGCTTATGCTACAACGTAATAATGAGTAACACAACAGGTACACTCTCCCTGCTTGCTAGACATCTCCAGTCAGAAGTGTACCTTTGACCATTGCATCCCAGTCTTCATAATGCAATCCTACAGTGTCCCCAATCCAGAAATAATCTGGCTTTATGAAGTCTCAGGAGATAGTAAACTATAATTGACTGCAATTTGATTTATCTCTTCTTAAAATGTTACCAGCTCTCTGAACCACCCTAGATAGAGGAAGTTATCTTTATTTTACACGTTGAAATACATTTCCAAAGCATTCAAGTCCTCTTGGGGCAAAATAACTTCTTTTCAATGCACACTCTTTGTAATCATGTCCTTCAAATATTCCCCAGAGAAAATGTAAAATATATATTCAATAATACAAAAAAAGTTAAAAAAAAAAAAAAAAAAGTTAAGCAAGAGCTTTGAGTGATTGTTAAAATCAGTGTAGTTCCTTGTAACTGAGTACAGGTACTTGGATTTGTACCTCCTGAAAAGTTGGTACACACTTTCTTTAGGACAGATTCCATTCTAAATTTGAAGGAAAGCAAGAGATTATAGAAACAGGCCTGAAATAAATCCTTGGAGTAGTAACTCCTTTGGGTGTTTCAGGTCCAAACCTCAATCTGAAATCTGTAGTCAACCCAGGTCAAAAGTGCAGAAACAAATCTTTAAATTAAACACACCTTGGAATCTAAGGACATTTTAATCCAGCGAGTAATTCATCCACTGATATCTTGTTCCAATCTTCCTGTATAGTCCATCAATCATAACTGTGAATTTCTCCATCCATTTATGTCCGGACTGGATGCAGATACAATTCAGAGTCTGTTCCCAAAACAAAAATACTATCAAGATCACACTCTGTGATTTAAGCTTCAGTATTCAATTGTAGATGGAGTAGCTTCTCAGTTAACTCTAGATATAGCAATCAAGAAAATAAAGGAAATATTATAGTGTATAAATGCTAGAGGCTCCTAGTCAAATCCAGCCCTCAGGTATACTAGCGTAAGTTCAGAAGATTCAGAGTACTGCTCAGGTTTTGCCCAATCCTGTACAGACTAGTTGAAAAACAATTTCAAATAATGAATAATTTGAGGAAAATTTAAAAGTATTCATGGACAATTTAACAATCAGAAAGAGAAAGCTTAACTTCATTAAATACATTATTCACTATTTCTCAGCTCCATTGCATAAAGTGATATGGTAATATTGTCTGCTTTGAAAGTGAAAACAGAGGATTTCATTTTTAATGGAACAGGAGAACATACAGAATATCAGAAACAGCAACACACTGGTGACTGAACTGAAAGATCCCACTGCCATAGCACACTGCCTTTTAGAGAGAAATGCTGACAAAAATACATAAAAATGAGCTGATATTCTTTACACTAAAATGTACTACTTTCCATATTTACTCAATTAAAAGACAAGATATTTCCACCATTTAACATGGGGGGAAAGACCCTCATTTTACAAGAGAGTACAAGGTGGCAAGAGTGGCGGGGGGAAGAGGGGGCAAGCAGCTGGTGCAGCTCTGGCACCAGCTCCGGCTCCAATCCGGGGTTAGGGCCAGACCTGCAGCTGCAGCCTGCCCCAGCCACCTCTAAACACTGCCCACCGCCTCTTTCTCCACATCCTCAGTCCCCCACTGCTCCATCTCCCCCGTGCCACTTCTCCTTAGTTTTGCTTCACAACAGCAGGCTCCATCATGTGCAATGTGCACATCATGTGCAAAAACAGGTATAAAAAGATTGTCACGAGGAGCCTGATCCAGAGTCCGCAGGACTTAACCAATACCGTTCCATTTCAGATTCATGAACCAAGACCCAGTGGCATCAGCAGGACTTTCCCTACTTCTCAGGATTCAGCTTTCAGGTATTAGTTTGGCAGTCCGTAACTTTGCCAAACCTCTGTACTAACCAATGGGCCAGAGGTCTTAACTATGCCAGTGTCACATTCTGCCCCTGAACAGAGCAAGAGAAGGATGGCTCTAAGCTATGTTTGTGCTCTACTTATCCTAGTCCTGCCAGAGGCCAAAATAGCCTCTGCCATAATTTAAAGCAGCCTACAGGTTGTTTTAGATTATACCAGCCATAGCAGTCCCCCAAGGACTGGTATAGCAATTGGGGAATCCCATTGATCATTCTGCTCTCTTTTGTCATGCCCCTTCCCAATTCTGCCCCATCCACACAGGGGAATGTAGACTCAAAGCAGCTTTCAGCACAAAGCTCAGAGTTGAGAATCTCTTCCAGAACTACAATTTGAAGTCTCGAGACAGGACTAATTTTCTCATTAAAACTATTAAACGGTTTTGCTTTTCTTAACAAACCTAAACTGAGTTTCAATATTGTAATAATAATAAAAAGATAAAACCAAGCCAGCAGCTTTGAATTTTGTTGATGTCATTTATATAGTTCTGTTAATTAATTACTTTCCCCCTTATAGTAACATATTATATACATAGTAACATATTATATAGTTCTGTTCCCCTATAGCACTTATTTCGTGACTTTCTTCTCAGGATTATGGCCTGTCTTCCAGATATAACACTCTGCCAAGATACAACAGGTATTAACCTAGAGCTCAGGCACAGGGAATGCTGTTTTGTGGGCTTTTTTGAAATGTGGCTTGGTTCAGAATAAAACCCAGAAATAGTGAAGTTCTCTGTAAAATCCAGCAGAGTCCCAGTCTGTGGCGGTTCACCCAACGAACTTCCCCACACAGCTTGGAAACTTTATAGTTACCAATCCAGAAGCAGTCCAGCAAATAGAGCCAGGCAAGCAAGTTGGCAGTAAACAGACAGTGTTCTGTCAGGACACAGCTTGATTTTCCATCAGACCTTTGGCAAAATCAAAACAGCCTCCACAAAACATTTTGGTTTCAATGAACCAGCCAGTTTTGATTAAAAAAAAAATGTTTTGTCTCATGCAGAGAGAATGCTATGGGCAAAATCCTACCCAATGAAGTCACACAGTGATTCTAGAGAGACTATAAAGAAGTATTCCTGACAGTATTCCACTCTCCTTCCTAGCAACAGGAAAACACCCCCTTTTTCCTTATGTAAAAGAAACTGATGATTCAAAGACTGAAATCATCTTTCTGTTTGATTACTAACAATTAACAATCCCAATATCCTGAAAGAAGGATTTTAAATTAAACATTTTTTTTTACAATTGCTTCTCTACTTGTTCTTCACTTCATTAGTTCTCTTGGATACATAGTACATTGATATTCTATGTGAAAGTGTATTAGTCCTCTATGGTGCTTTTGTGCCTCGTTCTTATAGTGGGAGCTGTATGCTTCCTGCCTGACAGATATTTCCATCAGGGATGAAAATAGCTTTTGTCATGTATAAAACATGGTAAAATGCTGATTACAGCTTAGAAATGCAAGCAAATCCACAAAGAATCTAGGTTTTCTATCCTTTTCTCACTATTCCCATTGCACCCATGTTTTAGGCTCTCAGATCATTGTATGATCCTAACTACAGTATGTTCTGCTCCATATTGTAAGAATAACAAGAAACAGAGCTTTAACTCTGAAATCTGAAAGTGATTTTGATGTCAGGGGATTGTATGTATTTTATTTCCTCCAGTGTCAGGAGCTAGTTTAAAAGGAAAAGTAGACAGTGAAATCGAACTTCATGTAGTATTTCACTTCCTACCTTTTAGGTTTCAGTTTATAGCATATTGCTCAGTGCATTCAGTATTGAAGCTCTGCTGTGTTAGCATTAAAGAACCTGCAAATCCTAAAAGGAGAGATTCAGGTCAGATGAATCAGTGTCTTTAGGACCTATAAAACAGCAAAATAACACCTCTCACAATTTATCATAATTAAATATATTTAATGCACATGCTGCATCAGGTGTGTTCTACTGGTCTACATACAGACACATAGGTTGAGTACAGACAGTCAAAAAGCCTGAGGCTGAATTGATTCAGTCTTTGCAGGTTAGTCTAAGTTGCAGACATTAAACTGAGAAACAAGCGGACACACATTTACTTTTGATTTAGGAAATGCAGCCACATGCCTGCAGTGGCTCTGGCCAGAAGCCAGGGTGCACTAGAACACAGCTCTCTGGCATGTAGCCAGGATGGGCTATGAGTTCACTTCCTCTTCCTGCTGCCCCCTGTCACAACCCAAGGGTGTGATTTTGTGTGTGCGCGCTTCGGCACTGCTAAATTATTTCC